AGTATTTTCGGTTTCCTATAGTTTTACCGGCAAAACATTTTTTAGTGAATAGGTTGTTATTCCGGGAACATGTTAAGTCGTGTCATATTGGAACTCAAGGACTCACGAGTATCGTGCGCGAACGATATTGGATTTTAGGTGTTCGACGGGCGATAAAATCAGCCATCATTAAGTGTGTCGTCTGCAAAAGGCATAATGCGAAGCCATTCGGGGCAAGTGCTCCGCCGTTACCAGTAGATCGCGTCCGGGACGCGGTAGCATTCGAAACGACGGGCGTAGATTTTGCGGGACCGCTTTACCTAGCCACCGGAGGAAAAGCATGTTTTATTGCCAGACGTGGTCGTCCGAAGACTATATACAGTGATAATGGAACTAACTTTGTCGGAACTGAGAACGCGTTTTCTCGAGTAGACTTTCAAAAAATAGCTGAGAACAGTATTAATGAGCGGATCCAGTGGCGGTTTAACCCCCCGACAGCTGCGTGGTGGGGTGGTTTTTGGGAAAGGCTCGTGGGCATGTTGAAGCAACTGTTGCGTAAAGTATTGGGACGTGCTTCACTGGATTATGACAGCCTATTGACTGTCTTATGTGATTGTGAACACATCACACAATTCTCGACCACTTACCTGTCCCACATCAGATACCACGGAGATGGTACCTTTAACACCACAGATGTTCCTTAGAGATCAGATAGAAGACGGTGTCCCCGATTGTGATGCAGTTGATGGTAGGTCTCTATCCAGAAAAATTCTGCACAGGCAAAGATTGTTAAAAGATCTTCGACGAAGATTTCGGAATGAATATCTAGGTCAGTTAAAATTATGGTCGAAAAAGAATTTTAAACACCAAGTCAAAGTAGGAGATGTAGTATTCGTAGGAAACGACCAGGACAAGCGTGTTAATTGGCCTCTTGGTCGTGTAACTGATACTATTCCCGGTAGAGATGGTCAAATTCGGCTTGTTAGGATTTCTACAGAAAGAGGTCAATTTTTAAGACCAATTCAGCGTATCTACCCCATGGAGTGCCCAGCAGATTTTTCTCAGACGCTAGGCAATGACCGAACGGACAACACGGGAGTGACCGAAGACAGAGGATCTCGTTTAAGTTTATGTGAAGGCGCGGAAGTGAGTGCCTCCGAAAACGACGCGGAAACGGGAGTGTCTGAAAGCAGAGTACCCGAAACGAAAAAAATTGTTACGCGAAGTGGGCGCAGCGTCAAACCTCCTGTGCGATACGCTAACGAGTAGATTTAGTTTTTGCTTAATTATATTTCGAATTTTGTCTGTTATGGTTTTATGTTATTTGCTGTAGTTTTGTTTACTTTTGTGCCAATATTAATATTGTGAGCCATGTTTACTTTTGTAAAATGCCTCAGGTGGGAGGATGTCACAGCCATTTGATAATTATTTTGTTTGTATGCACATATATTGTTATGTTGAATGCTGAAGTTACAAAATCTCTTATTAAAATTTAAAGAAAGCTTTAGCTATAAAACCTTTTTAAATCATAACAATCTTTCCACTTGTCGGCAATAATTTTTATATTTTATCGCCATAACTTCGATTTATTTTGTTTATTTTAACGCGTAAGTGGTGTAATAAAAATTGATGAGGTTCTTACAGTTGACTAAGAATCTGAGCGCTGAACGGTCGGTATCCGTGGCGTAGTATTTTTTTAATTTTGTGTATGTATAGATTGATGCTTATAAGTGATAATTTTGTTACATCATTTTTTAAAAGCACGCGATATGTTTTGTTGGGAACTGGCAAATATAGATTTTCAATAATTTTGAAGTTTAATTTTGTAATATACGAACCGTGTATTTTATACGCAAATTCGGGTAGAATTGCGTTGGTACACACTTGACATAAGCCGTGAAACCCGAAAAATCGTAAATGCTCATATTGAGTCTTTTGCAACTATGGGCCCACATTATATTCGCCAAAGTTCAAATCGTAGATATTTGGACAAAAATTTAAGTATAAGAAAAATGTACCAACTTGTATCAAAATGTGTTCCAGAATATGCAAGTGAAATAAGTTTATTTTCTGATACCCGCGGAGGACAGAATCGTAATCAGCATATTTGCAGCCTTACTATTATGGACTGTTCAAAACATAGACCATTTAAATATTATTGAACACAATTTTTTAGAGTCTGGACATTCCTATATGGAAGTTGACTCTATGTATAGTATTATCGAAACCGCTAAAAATCACAGGTCTATCTATGGGATGCTAGATTACTTGTCTGTTTCTCAAAATGCAAGATGAACTAAAAATACCAAGGTTATTAATAAATAACCTTGGTATTTTTTGGACTTTTATGATTTAAAAAAATTGTCACACACTTTAATTAAAAACCGGACAAAAGATTAAAACGTCGAAAAAATAATGTGGTTGAAGATAAAAGAATGATATTCGTGAAAGGAGAGACAAACAGAATCTATTTGAATTATGACATGTCAACAAGCGTCAATACTGCACGGCAGTGAACAATAAAAAAAGCACGCCAAGTTATCAACTAATACAAGCAATCTTGAAGAACTTAAGCGACTTTATGATGCACATTTGCCAATTAGCATAGCAAAAATTTGGTACAGCTATGTGATAAGGGAGTGATACCGGAGGAATCTCATGGGTGGTATCGTAAGTTGAAAACGGGAAATGATGTACCAGACATCTTGCCACTGCCTGCTTTCAGTGTTTTTATGAGTGATTTCACGAACCGGACGAGGAAGCCTCATAATAATAATATTGTTATTATTATCATGTATAATATTGTTATTCTTATATTCGAAATATTTTTTTTTTCTACAAAACTGCCTATCATTCATATAAATTATAACTATAATTACAAACAGCTGTTAATACAATTTAGAGGGAAAACCAGTTAAATGTCATAAATATCGACTAATACCTTAAAACATTGCTATTACCTAGTAAAAGCCTCGTATCTCGATCACAAAACTGGAAAATATTATACTTGGTGTATTATATTTGTGTTAAATATGTTATTTGAAGAGTATTTATTTTTACGCACAACAGTCCGTTAAGGCCTAGGGCATTTTTTTAAAACATAATCCTAATATTAACTAAATACAATTATTTTAAACAAAACTTTAACTTAAATATGTATATACAACATTCTTAACTACTCTGAAGGATCTGGTGGACAATATTTCTCCATTCGCTTCTATTTTGTGCTTTTCTTCTCCAGTCCCTCATCATTTGAAGAGTAACTGATTTATTTAGATTCGGACTTCAACCTCCGATACAAGATGCTTAAGTGTTACGTGTGGCCTGTTCTCTTATACGGAATGGAAGCATGCACGTTAAAGGCCAGTTCCATTAACAAACTTGAAGTATTTGAAATGTGGTGCCTGTTGAAATACTCAGAAGAGCGGGCTTACAGGATAGAAAACTTCTTAGTTACGAAAAAAGTAAAAAGACTGCATACTTGGGGCACATATTACGAGGAGAAAGATACACTTTTCAGCAACTGATACTCGAAGGGAAGATAGAGGGTAGGAGAGGTCTGGGACATAAAAAAATTGTCATGGATGCACAATAATCGACAATGGACAGGAATCCACAGCTATGAAATGCTTCGCAATGCTGCTAAAAACAGAATTATTTAATCCTGACTATTTAACATCTTACGCTAGACGTCTACGCAGAAATGCACGGCACCTTAAGAAGAAGATCGAAAGCTTCTTCAGCAAGATTTATATAATTGGGATTACTAATAGCTTGAATTATTTAATGTTCCGGTCACCGGAAGGTTGTATATTTCTTGAAATTCAATTAAGATCATATCTACGCTAGAAATAGCATTACTTGAAGCATTTAGATATCCGAATCGCTTAAGAAAAGAACTAGCATACTCCAGAGTGCTATTCTCTGCACACAAAGTTACAGAGAGCAACAATAAGCTTGTAAACAAAACAAGCATCTTGATTTATACTAATCCCCAAAATTTTTAATTAAGTTATTCATACAAATTATTAAGAAATATTTAAAGTAACAAACGTTAAAAATAACGGCGAAAAATAAATGTTAACAGAAAATTATCACACCGCATGCACAGGAAATAGCGACTGGGAATCTAATCTCAAACACTACTTTGCTATTTTGTTATCATGCCACGTGCACGGGGAATGCGGGTATTTTTCAAACAGATATGATTAAACCGAACATAATTTTGTCATCAAGCGCAAACATTCTAAAACACGTCATACAATCGTCTATCACTCTAATGTGGAGGGGCACAGTAACCGATGCAGCATTTTTATCAACCCTCTTCAGTACCCAACCTCACCTAACCTTCGTATCTTATGTTTCAGTACCAATTATATTCTATCAATTTGTGTGTGTTAGTTTAACTAGTTTGCAAGGTAAGTTTGAGATATTTTTTAAAATTAAATAATTGTCTACAAAGCGACCTCATGCAAGCATTTTGAATCCCAATTATTTTTTATTTACTTTTTATTTTCCTAATAATTAATAATCGTTAATTATTTTTCTGTGTTAAATTTTTTAGGATTTTTTCTTTTTATTTTGAATACAACTTGATGTTTTCTGCTCTGCTGTTTATAACATCCCTTCATGGGATTTGATAAAAATTAATTCAGCATCTGTAGTTGCAGTAAATAACTGTCTACAAAAAAGATGCCAGAATTTTGAATATCAATTAGTCTTTTTTATGTTTTTTGTGTTTTTCGTAATTATTCCATGTTAAATCTGTTCTCCCCTTGATTTTGAATACAACTTAATGTTTTCTGCTCTGCTATTTATAACATTCCTTCATTCGAGATGGGATGTAATAAAAATCAATTCAGCATTTGTAGGTGCATTAAATAATTGCAAATTATTCTTGTTTTACTGATTTATTTTCCTCTTAATTATTCTTGTGGTAAATCTTTTCGGTGTTTCTCTTCTGATATTGAATACAACTTAATGTTTTTCTTCTCTGCTAGTATAATATTCCTTCATTTCAGATAGATTTCGTAAAAATTAATGCAACATCTGTAGTTGCAGCAAGGAAACCGATTAAAAAACTGAAGGACTTGCTTGTCGACATTCCTGTGCCCATTAAGGAAGCTCGAATTGTAAAAACAAAATTTGCAAAATCTGTCTTGCTAGATTTGGGAAAAGAAGTGGTTTTTTTGCCGGAAAGAATGACACGAGGCCTACATCTCAGGCATCGAGGAGTTTGCAAGCGGAAAATATTCGTTAGTATATCAAGGCCAGGTGGACGTTGGGAGCAAGTATCAGCCGATGTCATCTTTCAAAATTGTCTAATACTGAAAGAAAGAGAGAGGTAAGCAAGCATTATGGATATTGTTAAACATTGTGAAAATTTATTGTTATTCATCAAGAGTCAGAAAGATAGTTTTTGATAAATTCACGGCTAAAGTTTGGTTGAAACGCTTAACGAAAAAAAAACTTGCGCTAAGTCTTTATGACGATAAAAGATATTAATATCAAATAGTTTAAGAATGCTACCATGGGGGCATTACAGTATTAGAGAATAGATTTTTTGTGTTATAGATGAATGTTCCATCATTGACCGACCTTGTCCATTAAAAAAATTGCGAAACAGTAGTATCATATCAGCATCAAATTTCATAGAGCAGTCCCCCTTGCCGTAGAAATTAACAAAAATAATTTAAAACAATTTCCTTCATATAAATGGGAAGCGATGATAAGCAGTGCAAAAATGATCCTATTCCTTCATAGAATTCATAACTTGCTCTAAACAAATATCGCCACATTTAAGAAATGCTGTATTAGGAAAGTCAAATTGGGGGAATATATTTGAAGATGAACACTCCAGTTATTGTGTATGAGTTAGTGGACATTGGATTCAGCAGCATCGCCTAAACGTATGCAAATCATGTTTTTTTACATTCACATGAGATCGAAGTTTATGATGCTGATGAGATCGTTGAATGCGTATATCAGCAAAAATGATGTAGACAGTAATATTGATTCTTTTGTGACGAATGACAATGTCTAATATCCATAAGCTACTATCTCTCCCTTTCTTGTATATTGGATGTTGTAATAAATAAATAAAGATATATGTAAACATGTTATTATGTCATGTTTTATGTGAAATAAAAACTCCAAATTTGTAATTTTATCATTTATTTAAATCATTAATTACCTTAATTTTATAAAAATATACGAATTCCCTAAGAGCATTATTTGTCATATCATCTGACATTATAGAACAAAACGCATGCAATATTTGCAAGGGTCTTAACTATTTGCAGTATTTTTACAACAATCTAAAACATTATAATAATATTCACAAAAGTTCAAATTTTCTAACTACGAAGCGATATCACGCTAGTGTTAAGTTCAACAATTTGCTTCACTTCTTCTTCATCCATTTAGTACTCACCATGCTTCTTGACAATAATTAATTTACAATCATCGTAAACTATCGAGGTAACAGTGCAGTATTGTTCGCATGGAAAAGTTTCGTGTTCGTTGTCATCAGTTGATTGAAAAAATCAATTAGTTGTGTAATGATTGAAATAAAGAAATACCATTCGTATACGCTGAGTCATATTCTTTTGGGTTTATATTGTTGAGATAAAATCACTGCAGGCACAAATGATCTTCCAGATTTATACCACATTGTACTTCATAGCCCGATAACGTGGATGTTGTTGCAAGCAGGTAGAATAATTCTGAATTGGCGGTAGCCTCATAATTTTCCAAACTATCTAATTCTTGATTATAGTCTTCGTTAATAGGCATATCGATTCTATATTCACAATCTTCTGAAGAATACCCACTATCTTGAAAGCTCATGTTGACTTTACTGACACTGATCATCATCATTATTGGCTCCACAACCCATGGTGGGTCTTGGCCTGCTCAAGGATAAGTCTCCATTTTCTCCTATTCTTCGCCTTGGCTTTCCAGTTTCTTACTCACAACATTCTCAAGTCTTCCTCCACCTGATCCTCAAATCGTGCTCTGGGTCTGCCTCTCCTACTCACACGATCTATTCTTTGGTTATAAATATAGTTTGGCGGTTCCATCTCCTCCCCGATGGAGCTAATAATATCAGTTTTGTCATACAGGCGGTAAAGTTCGAAATTATAGCGTCTGCGCCATAATCCGCCCTCCTGTACTCCTCCATAGATATGCCGGAGGATTTTACGTTCAAAGCATCTTAAACGTTCTTCATCGCTCTTTGTCATCGTTCATGTTTCCGACGGGTAGGTGAGGATGGGTTTGATAAGAGTTATGTATATCACTAGTTTCGTTCTTGTTTTTAACTAGGTTTGTTATTAAAAATTTTCTTAATCCATAATATTCTCTATTTGCCAGATATATCCGTCTGTTACTTTCTGCACTTACTGCATTATTCTGATTAATTTGTAAGCCTAGGTATATAAACTCTCTTACTCCTTCGAAAGTATATGTTTCGATCGTTAGATCTTCGGGTTGTGCCGCTTGTACATATATAATTATGTTTTTACTTTCATATACTTCGTCTTACTAGTGTTAACCTCTAGTCCCATTCTTTTTGTTGCTGTTTCAAGCGCCTTGAATGATTCGACCACGTCCGCCTTTCTTCTTGCAATAATGTCGATGTCATCGGCGTACGCTGGTAATTCTTCTTCTCTACGGCACTACAGCCCAAAATGAGCCTTGGCCTCCTTTATTTTTTGCCTCCACCCTTGTCTGTCTGTGGCTGCTCTTCTCCATACACGGACTCCTAAAAGTGCTTGTGCGTCGCTGCTTACTGTGTCTTCCCAGCGCTTTCTTGGCTTTCCAACTGGTCTCTTTCCCTGCATTCTGGCGTTCAGTGCTCGTTTTGGTAGCCTATCCTCTCCCATTCGTATCACATGTCCGGCCCATTGCAATCTTTGTATTCTAATGAAGTCTGACAGGGGTGTTTCCTTATACAGTTGATAGAGCTCGTTGTTATATCGAATTCTGAAGATTCCGTTTTCCCTCACAGGTCCTAGTATTCTCCTCAGTACTTTTCTTTCGAATGTGTCGAGTTTGTTTTTGGATGTTTCTTTCAGGACCCATGCTTCGCTGCCATAACATGCTATTGGCCGAATTAAAGTTTTATAGATTCTCATCTTTGTATTTCGGTGGACACTTTTAGACCGAAATATATGGGAGAGGGCAAAATAAGCTTTGTTTGCCTGCGTTATCCTTTTTCGTATTTCTCCATCCTCTGCTCCATCGGCATATATTTCTACTCCCAGGTATGTAAACTTTCCAACCGTTTCAATGTCATCTTCATGTATAATGTTTTGTGGGATTATATTTCTTCTCGTCTGTACCATTATTTTTGTTTTTTCTGTGTTAATTTCCAGACCTAGCCTTTTCGTTTGTGTTTTTAACTCTGCGTATGCTTCCTGTGCTCCTGTTGATGTTCTACTCATAATATTAATATCATCGGCGTAGGCAGCCAGTTGAACCGTTTTATTGGTCAGTAGGTTTTCTCGTCCAGTTTGCATTTGCCTAACCGCATACTCCAGTGCCAGGTTAAACAATGTTGGTGCCAGCCCATCTCCCTGCTTTAGTCCCTGCGAGATTTTGAAAAAGTCTGTCCGGTTGTTTTGTATTCGTACACATGCCTGAGTTTCATCCATTGTGGCTTTAATGAGTCTAATTAGCTTATGTGGTATTGCTAATTCTGCCAATATATAGTATAGTCTGTCCCTTTTGACTGAATCGTATGCCTGTTTGAAGTCTACAAACACGTTGTGAACATCAATGTCGTGTTCCCACGATTTGCTCAAGACCTGCTTGACTGTAAATATTTGATCCATTGTCGATCTTCCCCGTCTGAAGCCCGTCTGATATTCTCCAATAATATTTTCTGCTAGTGGTTGGAGTCGCTGGTTTATAATATACGTGAGGACTTTATACGCTGTACATAGTAGAGAAATTCCACGGTAGTTTTTGCATTGGAGTTTGTCTCCTTTTTTATAGATTGGGCATACTATACTTTTCTTCCATTCGTCGGGTATTTTCTCTTCTTGCCATATTTCTTTGATAAGCGCGTGGATATGACTTGATAGGTGGTTGCCACCTACCTTATACAGTTCTGCTGGAATCTCGTCAACTCCCGGGGCTTTATTGTTTTTCTGGGCCTTAATAGCTTCGAGAACTTCCTCTATGGTTGGAGCTTCTACTTCAACTTCGTTCTCTTCTACATGGTTCGTACCCATTTCATCTTCCATATCTACTTGTGTTCCAAGTAGGGTCTGAAAATAATGCTTCCAGGTTTCTGTGACTTTCTGTTGGTCACTGATTATTTGCCCACTTTCATCTTTGCATAGGCTTGTTTGAGGTTTATATCCACTTTTTATCTTTTTTAGGTATTCGTAAGCTCCTCTAATTTCGTTTTTTTTTGAAATTTTGTTCCATTTCTTCTATTTGTCCATTTTCATAAGCTCTCTTTTTGTTTCTGCATATCTTGTCTGCTTTCCGTCTTGCGACTTCAAATGATGTTCGTCTTTCCCGTGTTCTTCTTGTTATGTACATTTTGTGCGCTTCGTTTCTTTCTTCTATCGCTTGCCTGCACTCGTCATCAAACCATGTTCCTCTTCTCTTCTTTTTCTTGTTTCCCACGGTGGACGCTGCTGCTGTCAGCACTGCTGTTTTGATATTATTCCATTTGCTCTCTATGTGAGTGTCAGTTCTTGTGTCCTTAGCTCATTTGTGACTTCTGCTCGAACTTCTCTCTGCATTGCCTAGGTCTTCAGTTTTTTCCAGGTCTATTTTGTTTGTTCTTTGTTGTCTTTCGTTTCTTTTCTCTGTTAACTCTGCACCTAAATTTGGTGTTGCAAGTAAAGATGGTCTTTATGTAGGGAAGCATGTGGAGCTTATAACCATGTTTTTACTGTGGTGCGCAAAATTTATCAAAAACTCCCCATTCTCGCTTGTTTCATTGTGCAGTGAGTGTTTGCCCTGTTGTTGCCATAGAACTGCGGTTCCTTGCCTATTTGGCATTCATATCACCCATTATAACCTTAATGTCATTTTTGGCGCGTTGTCATATACTATCTCCAGCTGTTGGTAGAAGCTTTCCTTTGTATGTTGCTCTTGTTCATCTGTTGGGCAGTAGATGTTTATCATAGTAAGGTTGAAGAAGTGGGTGCGAATTCTTAGTTTGCATATCCTTTCATTCACTGCCTGGAAGTCTATGATTTTTGACTTAAAAATCATTATCTACCACAAATGCAACTCCACATTCTTTGATTCCTTGTTCTTTGCCACAATATAGAATTGTGTGCGTTTTGGTGTCCCTGACACCTGTCCCCAGCCATCTTGTCTCCTGAAGAGCAGTGATCATAAGATTATATCGTTTTAGTTCTTGTAGAAGTGCAGTTTGAGCTCCTGGTCTATTTAGCGTCCTCACATTCCAACTTCCAAATGCATATCCATGTTTCGTAGCTTTAGTCGTTTCCGAAAGTTCCCCTTGTTCCGAGGCAAATGTTTAGGTTTCATAACAGTGTTTTTCCGGGAGTGGGTTGTTAGCCCACTGCCCAACCTTCCTCCTTTACCCGGGCTTAGGACCGGCAATGGTTGACTCCTGAGCTATTCAATCCACCCATTAGTCACCACAGGCGGAGTTACGCCTGGTAATTGTACCTGCGATTAATAATAGTTCCTCTGTTGTTATTCCAGATCTCTCTTGATCGCTTTCCTCTAGTGCAGTATTGAATAGAAGTTATGATAGGCTGTCTCCTTATCTAAGTCCTATCTGAGACTGGTACCGTTCTGGAAACTCCGTTCTGCACTCTAACTTTACACTCGACTCTTGAGAGGGTCTCGCTTTTCGCCAATTTTACTGAGTGTACTAGGATGCTGAAATTCTATCATGGCCTTGTACAGAACGTTTCTTTCAACACTATCATAGGCACAATCTAAAATCAACAAACAGGTGATGAGTATCAATGCAATACTCATGTTTTTCCCAGAGTCTTACCTTAGAAGGAGTATTTGATCGGTCGTTGATATTTCTTTACGAAAACCCACACTGAAAGTTACCTATTAGTCTTCGCAATATCCCGATAGATCGGTCTTAAAGAATATATGCCAATATTTTGTATTTACGTTTAGGAGGGTTATTCCTCTGTAGTTGTCACATATTGTTTCGATCTCCTTTCTTGTGAATAGGTACAATTATACCTATATTTCAGCCTTCTGGTAACTTTATTTGCTTCCAGATCAGTTACTACCAGTCTACATATACAGTATGTTCAGGTTCTTTTTGCCATGCTCTAAAAGTTCCGAAGGAATGCCATTTTAACTAAATCCGTAAAATAGTTTCTTTGCTGTCTTTTTCATTTCATGTCATCTTAACTCTTTTAAAACTCTTTCTATTGCGAATCCCCGATATTCAGTAGTACCTCTGATCCCACGTTTTTATTTTTCTTTTGAAGTTTCTTTTGTTTATTCATTAGGCTGGCTTTTGCGACCTGTACAAGGTTTTATAGATGTTTTTTTACTATGTTTGTTATTTTATATTTGTTCTTCTTTTCCTTATTGGTGTCTTTAATTTTGATAATTTTTTGGACACCCAGTGTTGGTGTTAGATATATTTAGGCCTCTGTTGTTTTCAATGACTTGCTCTATCAAGTTTTCGTTCCACTTTTTTATGTCGCGTTTAAGTTCTTTTTTAATTGTTTTATTAAGTTCTAAGTATGATTGAGCTTGGCGTTTGTTTTCCTCTAGAAGTTGTCTTCTTTCGTTCATTAGTTGTTTAGTTTCTTTGCTTATTTTGTTTTCTTTAGTTCTTGTTTTCTTTGCGACCTATAGTCCGGCTTCGAGAAGGTTTTTATTTATATTTTTCTTAACGTCGTCAATTTCGTCTTGATTATGTAAATGATCTGATTCGAACTTACTCTCTAAGACCTTTCTGGATTCATGTGTTCTTAACTTTAATGGCATCTATCCGCGTTGTTTTTTTAAAGATCCTTTTTCTTCTTCTTTCATTTTAATATTTATTTTTGCTCTAACTATACGGTGGTCACTACCAGTTGTTATGTTGTTTATTGTTGTCACGTCTCTCAAATATTCTTTTGTTGTTTGAGAGAAAATAGTCTATTTCATTTTTGGTAGTTCCGTTCGGTTAGCTTGGGTCTTGGGTATATAGTAGGTGTTTATTATGTGAACTCTGCTTCGACTTATTTATCCATATTTCTATGTATTGCATAATTTTTCAAAGCCCTTTCTTCGAAAAATGTTCTTATCCTGTATATTTTGTTATATATTAAATAGATAGAAATAAACAAAAATTAAACGAAGAAAATGATTAAATAATATGTACTTAAGAATAATAAAATGGTAGGATATAAATATATTCAAATGACCTGACAAGTTTAAAATAGGAAAGAGACGGAAGACCCAATATAAATTTTCTGGATGTTCAACGTCTCTCAAAGAATATGAGACGAAGGCAGAGAAAAGAGATCATTTATAATAATTATATGCAGATAATTGACATTAAAAATCCTATTACTCAGTCTAGTGTTAATATGTTTTTAGTTCTTTTCGTTTGTAAAATCCCTTGTGCTACAGGCATTCTTTTAGAATGGGAGGATACTTTCCCATACACAGATGATATTAGATTGTTAGGAAGTCTTGGGGATTCTAGTGCCAGTAAGGGACATTACACAAATGAAGAAGCTTTAGAAGTATTAAAATTAGGTAAGTATTTTAAGCTTCAATTTTTTTTTAATAAATAGATATGGATCCATTATACGTTGCAAACGTGCTTGAATGTTCCAACGCTAAGTACGACATTTGCTGCCATTACATCTTCGTACACTTTAAGACAACGTACGATACTGTTAATAGACCCCAATTATATTCGAATTTGCAATACCAAAAGGATTGTTAGATTTACTTAAAATGTCAATGAGGAAAGGCGAATGTAAAGTGCGGACACACGGGGATGTTTCAGAACTATTACAGGTTAAACACAGGACTGCCTAAGGAGAGATGCGCTATCATGCATGCTGTTCAACGTAGCGTTAGAAAAAGTTATGAGATATTCGGGAATAAACTTAAAGGATACGATATATACCGTCGTACACAAATAATGGCATATGCTGATGATATCTTGATCATTGGAACAATCCGAAATGAAGCAGCTGATTAACACCCAGAAAACTAAAGGATATACAGGCTATATCAAGAATGCAACAAATGTGCAACATGAAACTACAGAAATGGTGATACATTCAAAGAAATAAGAAAAAGAATATGCGTGGCTAACCGCTGTTATTTGCCTAGGTCCTCAACTTAAAGTGAAAAAAATGTCAAGACTAACAAAGTGCAAACTTTATAAAACAATAATACGCGCAGTGCTCACTTACGGATCGGAAACATGAGACAACGACGACTCGAGATGAAGAGTTACTACGAATCTTTGAAAGAAAACTATCGGGACCATATACAGATCACGACATTGTTTTATTGACCCACGTTGGGCGCCATTTTGTAACGTTCCAACGAACATTCATTGGACGTCAATCTATGACATGCCAACGAATATTCATTGGATGCCAATTTGTAACCCTTCGAGGCTCAATTTGTAACATCCCAACGTTGAGCTGCTGTTGTCAACTTGTAACCGCAAACCTTAGTTTGCTGCTACAACCTGACTAACATCACTAACAACGTTGGAGCGACAAATCGTTTCCTGTTGGGACCAATTTTTAACGCCATAACCCCTAATGTATCAATTGCAAAATTGCTACATTAGACGTTATGCGAAACACTCCCTGGCTAGCTCACTCAGGACGTGAATATGGCCTACTCTGGAGCAACACACACAAACAAGTAAAAAGAAGAAACAATACACAGTTAAATTAACACATGTTTATTAAAATATAAAAAAAAACAGAAAAATAAATGTTTAAATATAGTATTGAATTTAAATAAAAATTATTCAACTTCTTGCCACAGTGTTACATTATATTAAAGAACAATGTTTGTCACCAAATCCTAGGTTTTATCCTGGTCTTTTCTGCTATGGTTGTTAGCAAGCCATGTTGTTAGTTGTGGATTTTCTTGCCCCGGAGTCAACTCTCCTATCGGAATGATGGTGCCACTCTCAGGCCGGTTGGTCTTCTGGATGTTAAAAGAATTTGACCCGCACCTGAGAAATGTATCCCGGAGGTTGACTAAAATGAAGAAAAACACACCTTGCTTCAGAAAATGGTGAAACCAAAATGAGAGACCTTGCTTGGGGGATGAAAAGGTGACCAATCAAATTTAACAAAATTTTATCATTATTCACCCAAGCAAGTCGAGAAACAATTCTTATTTATGTACTTATCATAGGCAAATAAGTAAAAGTAAGGATATATATAATTTTTAAAGCAAATGGTAATTACTTTTTACAACTGAAATATTCTAATATTAATTAAAAAAGTGAATTCGGTAAAAATGACAAGATATATTTATTGAAAAGCTAGATAATTTAGAATTTAGAAACATTTCTATATAGAAATGGTAGTTTGTCAAAAGTTAATTATTATTAAAATCAAAAGATATTATTAAGGATTTAAAATTAATATTTAAAACTATAAAAATATTCGTAAAACTTTTACATACTATATTAAAGAAACTATATATTTCTTATCGCTAGTTTTTTATATAAAATAAAAACATAAGAAATATCCACAAAATATGTATCTACTTACATGTCATACCATAATCATAAATAATGAGCTTAGAATTTTCAAAGTTAAAATTATAAAAAGATTTTTATACAACAGGTAGAATCAAAAAATCGATAAAATATATTATACTCTTACCTCCTTAATCAGGAGACGACACAACAATTGGTTATTATACTTTTACAGAAGTCATGAAGAAAATCGACATTTTTAGAAAATAGAAGCCATTATATCGACTTTTGTATCGAACGGGAAGGGGGAAATGTCAACAGCATTGAACTAAACAGAGAATAAAGATGGCACCTCTCGTTCCAAAGTAACAGAAATAGAGATGAAAATAAAATTCACTCTTTAGAAACTTGAGTAAAAGATAAAAATGATGATTATTAAGAAAATAGAGAGGTAGATACTGAAATATATATATAAATATAATATATATATATTATATATATATATAATAATAATTATATATATATATATATATATATACCTAGTGAAAAGGAGATAATACTATGAAGTACCCTTTTATAACTGAAGAAGCAAAATAAAACTAGGGTGCTTCGTTTAGATGTGTTTTTAATTAAAGGTCTAAGCTTTCGTCAATGATTATTGACATCATCAGAGTAAACTACAAACAAACGAGAGAACAAACAATGAACAAGTGGAACCTAAGTATACAAATTTATAAAACACTTACCCTAATTCTAGCAAGTAAACTCAGTGACTTGGGTTGAACACAAAGAAAGTATTGTCTATGTATATATTAAACATAGTTGCAGAAATGGTATCCATAGTTTACAATGTGTTTTTTATTTAATTATAAACGATATATTTACTATAAATCTAACCACAAACAATTGAAAAATTTTACACGTAGTTTAAAAACAATCTAAAAGTAATTAACAATTTACGGCGGTGTCACTAAACTTGTTTGAACTAGCGGGATAATTTAAATGTAAAACATGACATATATAATCTAAAATGTTAACAACGAATAATAGTTTACGTTTGTATATTATGATATTTTTAAATTAAAATAGTTAAAAATCTAACCTATATCACTCATATATCTAGGCGACAATTTTTTTATTCCTGAAATATTTTGTATTAAGCAGGAAGGTTGTAGATTGAACTTAAATTATCCACATCCTTCTTGTGATTGATGGCATTTTTCGCAATATAAATGTAACCACATCACAATATTATAACGCTGAAAATCTCTATTAGATACATCTAGAGAATGAATGTGTCAATTATAGAGGGCTCTGTGTCTTTGCTATTGACGTGAATACTAAGACTTGTAGAGTTGGTGGTTTGAGTCTGCAATCACTTTTATGAAGTGGCCAACCTTTTACTTAACCTTTGGCCAGTCTGACCCAATAAAAACTAAGCCACATTCACATGGGGATGCCATATATTACGTTGGAACGTTGGTAAGGTGGGAGTTGGATCTTTTAAATCGGGTGTAAAACAAGTTAAGTATTTTTTTGGTTGTAAGTAGATATTTTGTATATTAAATTCACTAAATAAAACTAATGAGTGATCTTAGATAGATTTTGTATAAAAGGTAGTTTACCATATCTCTGTATGAGTATCAACTAGAGTAACATTCTGAATTTGCATCTTTGTTTACAATAGATTAGAGAAATAACAATTTGTTAAGCAGTTTTTTTGGATATTGATTAGATAACAATATATCATATAAAATTTTAATGTTTTTGTTAACAAATTTAGGATGGCAAATCTTTAGTGGATATTTTGCTTCCTCAGTTATAAAAGGGTACTTCCAGTATATCCCCTTTCAGTACATAGTACTCGTACCCATTATTAGCCTTTTGGTTATATATATATAAATATAATATATATATATATATATATATTATATATAATATAGAAAATATAATAAAAAGAAAAGATTTTAGATATATAATATAGATATATTATATAAATATAATATAAAAAGATAATTTGGACGTCAACTGGTTTTTATACCAAATACCAGTAAAAATGAAAAGAGAATAATGAATCAATTAAGTAACGACATAATTCTGATACAATCTATGTTCGAGAAAATATATAGAAAAATAAGAGATACAATGGAGGATATGAAGAAGAATATGAATTATGACAGAAGATAATGGAAAATGGAGAATAGAATTAACGAAATATATAAACATAAAGAAAGAAAGCAGGCGATGTAGCAGTTATAAACGCTACACAACATAATGGCAATCGGTGTGACATGTTACACATTTCCACCTCTATATATTCATTTCACAGTAGGTACGAATTGTCGTAATTGTCACATTGACATTAAAAATTTCAAACGAAGTTCTGAAAGAATAAACAAATAATTAATAAAATGCCTATTACGTTGTATACCGTCCAAGAAAAAGTGAAACTTGTAACATGGTACTTTCAGGGTCATTCGATACGCGAAGTAATTGATTTATTTATTGTTGCCTTCGAAAATAGACCCCACCAAGTGTTACAACAGTTAAAAATACCATTAAACATTTTCAAACTTCGGGATGTGTAAACAGTTGTAAAAAGTGTCATGAAGGTAATGAACCACGTGTTAGACCTGTCGATGAGGAGCGTCAAAACAGGGATATTGATATTTGTGCTTTTGTGGAAGCTAGTGAACCCTGCAATAGTGTACAAATTACTAGGAAAGTTAACGTGAATGATCGAACTATCCAGCGAGTTCTCAAAAGGAATGGGTATTACTGTTTTAAGATACAACCAACACAAGAACTGTTTCCGGAAGATAACTTTAGGCGGATGGAGTTTTGTGAATTTATGTTAGATAAACAGAATGAAAATGTACACTTTTTAAAAAATATTTATTTTCTGACGAATCTTCATTTTCATTACATAAAAAACACAATCCATCCGTTGCAAGGTATTATTCTCAGAAAAATAATCACCTCAGTGTTGTAGTGTGAACGCAGCATCCGCAAAAGTTAAATGATTGGACTGGGATGTTAGGCGACCATATTGTCGGTCCATTTTTTATCGATGGAAACCTAAACGGGCCCAAATATTTACAACTTATACAGAATGAGATTATTCCGGCAGTTGGGTGTTCGGCTCGCAACTCTAGAGCAACTATTGACTTCCTCAATCAAACGTTTCCTGATCGACTAATAAGTACACGTGGTACAATTAAATGGCCCGCTAGATCCTGTGCTTTAGCCCCTAACGATTTTTTTTTTGGGTTTTCTTAAAGAAAACATTTATAGGCATCAGTTTGAAATGGCCACAAACCTAGTCGAATTAAGGGCAAAAATACTTCATTTCTCTGCAAGCATTACACCAACCTTACTCCAAAATATGAGGAGAAATCTGACAGATTTGGTTACTGTTTAGCAAAAGGAGGTGGAATATTTGAGCCCTTAATTTATTAATCTGCTTTCCTAATTTTTATTTTTGTTGGGTACATTTTACAAAGTTTGTAGGTTCTTAATTAGGTAGTATTTTTTATGTTTAAGTTTGGAAGAATTTTATTGTTTTTTTTTTTTATTTAAAAGTACAAACGATTCTTATTCTGATTTTTTTCTCCTTTCTTGTCTTATTGTTATAAGCTTTGTCCATAAAATTTGTAAAATTTTCAGTGACAATAAAGCATATTACTTATTTACTTACTTATTTATTTGTATTGCTATTAAGGCTAAAAAATACCCAGAAAATTAGTTTTAGAGCATTATAATAAATATACTATAGAAATGGATTGCAATAAATCGTAATTCCTATGGTCAACAAAACAATGTCGTTATCTGTATGACAAAGTTAACGGATGGATAGGGTCTGTGGAGAAATTGATATAATTTCGAACTGTATAGATTTTTTGGACATGTAGATATCGTGAAAACCATAAAAATAAACCGCCATGTGATAAGAGGATGGATGAAAGTGATCCTTCTAAAATAACTATGCTAAATAGGCCGCTCGGAAGAACAAGAAGCCTTTTGCATTTGCTAATGGTTTTGGAACTGAGTATATTTTTTCCGTCAGCTTTAATGCAAAGATAGATATTATTTAAATACGAATATGTTTTCGTGTGCTATATCAATTGTTTTATGTATGTTTACAGAATTCTATGGGGAAAATTTAAAAACGAAGAGCTTGTAAATATTCAGAAATAGTTACAACCAAGTTATATTCCCTATTTTCTAGTTATACCAAGAAAATAGTTTTTTTTATGTTATAATAATTAACCAATGATCATTTTAAAATTTTCAGCCAGCCAATCAAATTTAACTGTGATACCTTTAGTACAAACAATAGGTCATATGGAATTTGTTTTGAAATATAGTAAATTTAACTACTTAAGAGAAACCAAAGACTGTCCAAATTGTTTATGCCCTACTTCAGATGGCAGTTTAGATTTGGTCAAATGTTTAATAAATCAAATCATATCTTTTCATGAACACTGTGAGTATATCCATATCGGCGCTGATGAAGTAAGTATACTTTGTTTCTTATTTTATTTATGTATAGAGCCATCCGAAAAAATTGTAATCGCAAAATTAGTTATGCTGTGAAATTACTTAAAAATATGGAGTGCCGATAGTCACTACTACCAATTTTCACAGAATGTAACGATATTTATGACTTGACATTGTCAATATAAAGATTGAATCTTGTATTTTTAACAACTTTTTTAATCACTATATTTTAAATCTGATACTGCAATTATTATGCTTTCACACTTTGTATCTACATCTAATTGACCTTGTTTATAAATTTTATTGGGTCCCTAAAAGATAACTTCCTGCATATGTTATAAAACCATCGAGCAATAAGACAAAAGAGGGAATGTAAAGGTAGTGGGGGCAAACATATTGATAGACAGGAAGTGCTATTTTGAGAGTCCACTTTAAAACAAGGAAAGAGAATCTCTTTCCTTGTTTAAGAACTCAAATTTAGTTGGGTTATGTTCACGGTTCCTAGACTTACTACGGTTTTATTGATGTTGATGTCACATGAAAGCTTATTTATATTTTCTATTGAAGTTTTTTAACAATTGTTTAACATTTTAGACTATTATCGTTATTAATTAATTGAGCACGTTAACGTCGAAATAAAAAAAGTTCTAGTGTTAAAAAAAGTATTTTAATAAATAATTTTAATAAATAAATAGATAAATATATAATATAAAATATTATGTAATATTAAATAAATAAATAGAAAAATTAGAACCCCTACACCACTGTATGATTATTGTCAAGTGTCATGAAATTTAAATTTTTCGCATTTGCATTTCCGGATATGTCCGCCATCAGAGGCCACTTTTTTGGTCTCCTTTTCATAACGATTAGATTTCCTCTTTTGTCTTATTGCTTGATGTATAAAACTAATCAATGACGCGTAAACGTATTTTAAATAACCCATTTAATCCCATATATTTGGGTTATATTGGGTTAAGTTGGGCTATGTATTATATGTGAAAGGGATCTTCCAACCAAAGAAATGTTTATTCATAGCCTGCTTTAACCCGTTAGCATCGAACAACTCGAAGGTGCACTCCGATAAATTTACATTGGTAGCCGTCAGATAAATTCGGTGATCTTGCGCCATTTTTTTTAAATAAGATGTCAGTGTTTACGATTGCACAAAATCAAATTATTAACGAAACAAATAATGTGATCTGACATCTGACAACAACAAACACAAAATGTCGTCAAACGAAGTGACTGAAATTTAAAACATGGCCGCTGACAATGCGCAAACCAGATGCGCGAACAATTACCACCGAGTCGAGTGCACCTTCGGTTAGCTCGTAGTGTAATTTTTATGTACTATAACAGTGACGTCATGTGATCAGATGATATTGTGCAAGTGGTATGAATTTTTGCTCGACAATGAATTAGTTTGTGTCAGGAAACATTCTCCTTTGAAATAGTTTGGTTAATATTTATTATTATTTGTGTATCTTGAAATTGTGTTCCTTTAAATATGTCAAAAGAAAAACATCAAAATTAAGTTCGCTTCGCGCATCACGTAGTCAGGAACGCTTGTTCACGCAACATTTGAATGTAGCTTTTTTTATAGTAAAGACTTTAAATTTTAAGTTTTTTTTTTATAATTTTGCTAATTTAATTATAGTAATTCTAAAGAGATGATTTAATTATGTTATTATAATATTTAATCATAAATAATATTTTGAAGACTTAATTTTAATGATTTTTGGTACAGTTATTGTGTTCACATAGATATCCTTTATAAAACAAGTTTTAATTATCTTTTATTACACATAGGTAGGGCACATTGAAACGATAAATACTATTTTCAGACTAGAAACTTATGTATTACAATTTATAATATTTTTTTAGTAGAATTGTATATTTGCATGTATTGAACATATATTATTGGTTTGAAATCAAAAAAAAAGTAAAAACCTGATTTTTGATAACTATTTTTTTAAATCATGTATTTTGTTTCACTGTGTCCCATTCGGGGGGTAGTGTGAAACAAAGCAACGGGCACAGTGAAACATTAGGAATTTTCTAATAACAAAGTGAAATGAGTCTTAAAACTAAAAATCTTTAATATGAAATATGATTACAAATAAGGTACATAGGTATATCTACCTATATATTAACGTACATCTAAATTTGAGAATGATATTTCAAAAATTAAAAAACTCTGTGTTTCTTGATTAGGCAATATTAATTTAACATCATTAATATTAACGTATGAAATGTTTTCAACTTGGGGGTAGGAAAAAGCTCTAGCCACTTTAGCACTTTTTCTTAAAAATGAAATTTCTACTTCGTTTTCGTCAGTTTTTTCTTTAGTGACTCGGCCAATGTAATAAAACTTTTTCTTATCTGTAAATTCAACCAATACAAATTCATTTACTTTTAGCAACTCTACTGGAGTAAAAGATAATTCTCCAGCATTATCCTGTTCTACATCGTCAGGGCCAAATGGACAAATAATTTTTTTGTTGCTTCTTTTTTTTAGGAATGTTGATTTTAGAATTTTTGGCAGCATCTTTACGTGCCGCGTCCTCAATTAGATTTTTTTCAGGAGTATCCGTTGCGATCATGCTTCTTCCCGATTTCCTTTTTTTCCCAATCGCTTTTCTAGGGCCGGCTTTTGGATACCCTTTGAATTCCGCAGGACTTCTAAAAGTTTTATTATCAATTATTTTCATTTCACTTGTATTTTTCAAAACATCTTGAGATTTATTTAGTGAAGGCTCTTCATTTGATTTTGATGATGGACCAGCGAGTGTTGGGGATCGATTAGATTAAGTTCGTCTGAATGTTCAGGATTTGGTCTGTCAGTTACAAAACTGGCCATCTAGTCGGCTTCAGTGAATAAATTGCGGTTATAAGGAAAAATTTCAGTTTTCCTAAAGCCATTGATAATTGTTGTTGGAATCATGGCTTTTTGATGTGCTTCATTTACACAACCAGCAATGTTATATATTGAGAACACCTTTCCTGGATTTTGTTTTTGCCAAGAATCTACGGCAGCAGCATAATATGTTTTGAATGGAGCATAACATGAAACATCAAGTGGTTGCAATTTTCCACTGCAATGGGGTGAAAGTGTGACTATTGTTAGACCATTTTCTTTAGCTAGATTTATGACTTCAATGCATATATGGCTGTGATGGTTATCCATTATTAGCAACGTTGGGTTTTCCTTTGAAGACAATGTATATTTAATAAAATGCTTAATGACCTGAGGGAAAATATCAGTAGTCATCCACCCACTTTTAGTTGCCAATCCTAAAGATCCTGAAACGGGCCGTTTATTAACATATGATCTTTAAATTTTACACGGGGAAAAACGAGAGCCGATGGTATTGTATTCCCAGAAGCGCTTATATAACAACAGGTTGTCACCAATGTACCTTTTTCCCCAGCCGCTACAGTGGATACCCCTCTAGTTCCATTTTCTGCAATTACTTTGACAGATTTATTTACTACTGTAGATGTGGCAGTTTCATCCAAATTCCATATTCTTGAACCATCTGCGAAATGGGTTGAACGTTGTAAGGCTACTTTAAGATTATCGTAGAAAGTATTAACGGTATGGCAATTAAATGATGTACATCGAGAAATAGAACACTTTTCAGGTTGTCTCTTCGACAATGTTGTATTTCTATTTAAAAAACCTCTCAGCCAGTCCAAACCAGCAGCTGATTTAGCATGCCAGCTTTGAGGTACATTTATATTATTTATCATGGCCATTTCGTATGCCAACTCACGTGTATCACGTGTTGATTTTCCATTGCACATTTTGAAACAGATCAATAAATACTCTGATAAAAGTTTTTCTTGTTCGGTAGTGAATATCAAACGGGAATTATACTTAGGAGTAAAACGAATTTTCACATGTGATCCTTCATCGTTAGCAGCTTTTTTCTTTTTAACATACCTGCATAAGAAAAACATATTTAAGGTAATTATATCTATTTATAATATAAATTATTACTCACCTAAATAATGTAACAAAATTAACATTACATTCGTCTGCTGCTGTTCTTAAGCTAATTCCCTCTTCGAGAATAAGTTTAACAGCTCTCTCCATTTGTTCCTCGGAGAACTGTCCAATATTGGTTTTTCGTACAAGGTGTCTCATTTTTTTCTACAAAACAAAATAATTTGCTTTATATGAATATTATTCGTGTTGCTATTAAATTATTTATGTATTTTTTAGTATCGAAAATTTTATTGGGGCACAGTGAAACATGTTTCAGTGTGCCCCATAAAATTTGTTTCATTCAGCCCCTAAACAAATCCAGTGTTAACGTGCATTTCCATTCGACAACCATCAGACTTAATAACAAGAATAATATATCGATTTATTCGTTATACATATTCCTTTTATATACTCAAGAAAGGAATTTGAGTTTTAAAAAACAATAAAGTTGCAGATAATAAATTATTCGTTCAAATATTTACTTTACTCACCCAAAATCCAACATCATCCACTGTAAATCACTAAACAACTGAACTAAACGAATTTCTTACATCAGCTGACATTGTACAGGTCAGTGTTGCCACACTAAGTTGTTTACAATTTCAATGATTAAATCCCGCGAAATATGAAACGTTTCACTGTGCCCCTTGTTTCACTGTACCCCACCTTACCCTACAGGTTAATCACCTTATACTCCAGAGTTCGATATTTCAGATGTTTAAAAAGATACAAAAAAAGTGGCATCTACATGAAAATGGGTCGAGTACAGCCAAAAATTTTAAAATTATTTGCAAATATACAAGGTATTCCCACTTCTTAATTTGTTAATGATCACTTTGTAATGTAGGTACACAAAATTTGTATTTAGATCGGATAAGCTAGCTGGCTATTGAATATGAGTGTAGTGAGGTAACACAATATTACATAAAATTATCTTGGTATTAGGCTCGTAGTGCATGTAAGCACTACGAGCCTAATAGGGCCATGGCTGATATACTATTCTTTGTCACTCCCTTTTATT